CGAAAAGCGTTCATCTGTGGACAACGCGGGGAACATCGGAATGTGGGCATTGGCGGTTCATGATCTTCTGGACTCCTCGTCAGACTATACTGGTTGCTTCGTAAGTTGGATTGTTGCCGGGTTTTTTTCAATATATTGAGCTATTTAATTGACAACTTGGTACACCAGTTCGGTCAGCGCTTCAGTGTAGCAGTAGCCGTCTCTTTCATAGCCTACCTATCTCGGTTCGTAACTACTTAAGAGTTATGATCAGAGCAACCATGAAGTCGTTATTCCTATCTACAGTGGCAGGCCTCGTCTTCGCAGTGGGAGCGTCCCCGATGCTTGCCGCCTCGTCGGTTGACCACCACGCTTCGAATTCATTGAAGGATGACTGTGACCGAGCGTGCATGGCAACTATCGTTGATCAGGTTCTGGCTTCCATGGTAGTGCACGACCCATACACCTTGCCGATGGCTGCAATATATCAGGCTACGGAAAACTCGCACCCCGCAGCGCTCGGGATGATGACCGCCTGGCGAACTGTCACGGAAGCAGGGCCACCCAGTTTGCTCGCAATCGATACCACACAAGGGTCGGCGTATTTTGCCCTGGACGTCAGCGAAGGCAGCGACACGGAAAGGTCCGTCCTCAGGGGTCGAGTCAAGGTCGTCAACCAGGAGATCACCGAGTTGGAAATTTTCATCAATCGCTACCGCGGGGACCACGGCTTCTCCTTCTCAGCAGCTGAGCTTCCCAGCAATTATGAGGTCTTGATGTCACCGCCAGGTAATCGGACAAAGGCGAGTCGGGCAACATTGACAGCTCTGAGTGAGGCCTTGTTTGCTAATTCAAGTAATATGTCGGTGAGGGTCGACGCCAACTGCCAGTTTACCGAAATTGGCTGGAAGGTCATCGATACGGGAACATACAACAATGAAACAACCACCCCGCTCAGTTGCAGCTGGCCTTCAGATCATCCAACAGATGAGAATGCGCGTGTCGGTTTAGTCATTGACGAAGAGTTGGGCTTTGTCGTAACTAGCGGCATGATCCAGGGCAAGGTCTACCCTTACCAAAACGTCTCGGCCTTCATCCCGGACGCCATGACTTCCTCGCAGGAGGCCCAAGATGTGTGGTTGAACGAGGTGAAAGCACTGGGTGTCAAAGGGCTTCTGGCACCCACTGAGGCAACGGGGGAGACCCTTGAGGTGCTACAATACTACAACGATGCGCTCCAAGCCATGCAGATTAATGTGTACATGAGCGGTCCATATATGACATCGGCCTGGCTATAGGATATTTCATGGTATAAAGCAACCATAATCATGGCCAGCACACTGAGGTCTGTGAGGGGTTGATCCGGAATCGTACTTTATATTTGTTTGCTAGCTGAGCTAAGTACTTAGTCGAAACGAGATATGGTGTCTAATGACGCCGGGGTCATTTGCTTCAGCTCACATTCGCTTTCCTTTAGCTTTGGTACTTAGGGACGTAATCAGTCACCGACCAGGTGCGGGCCTATGATCTTTTTACCAAGTTGAGCACATTACATCATCCTTTATCTTCCGGTCATCGTGAAAGTCAATAGACGCACTGGGGCGCTTTCCGAGGCCTGATCTCGTAAGTTAGCCCCCTCAATCTATCTGCAAGACACGCATCATCCTCCGCAGAACTGCTTCCTATTCGTCTAGGACTTCTTTCACTTGCTTTGGGAGATAATAGTTTCTCGCCAGACCAGGCCAAAGAGAGCCATCTAATCTGACTAACCCAAGATTCATGGCCGGACACCCTGTGCTCTGGTTCCGTAAGGTTTGACGCCAAAGGTCCACAAGGCTTTTGGCACGGAGAGCGTAGTCTTTCGTGGGCGCTTGTACAAGCAGTAGCAGTAGGAAATTAGAGACGGTTGCAAATCCGACACGAGACCCTAGCTCGGTCAGTATATCGGCGGCCTAGTGAATGAGTTTTCCACAGACGTTACCCAAAAGGGACGAGACATACATCTATACCAGAAGCTCGACAAGTCACTGGTAGTCATACGCATCACCAGACGAATTACTTTCGCCGCGCAATTATCGGCTGCGCGGAGCACCGCATTTCCCATGCCATTCTCATCGGACATGTCAATGGCCATGGACGGCTCGATCTCTTCGGCGTCGAACAACTGAGCCAGGAGGTCGTTAAACTGGTTCGTAAATTCCGTTGTCTCGAAGTTCTCCTCGAGCAATGGAGGCGGCGCGGCAGAGCGAACCATTGGCCGCAGGAGGGCGCGGAACACAAATACTTCTAGGAGGATGCAGGCAAACCGGAGGCAGTTTGACTGGCAGTATATGCTGTCCAGAGTAGTGGGCTGATGATCGGGCTGACGTACCGATACTGGGGAGTGCCCGTACCAGTCCTTGAGCTTCTGTAGAAGAGGACGGGCAATTTCCAGCGTTGCATGAAAATCCGGCGATAAACGCTGCGACGCCTTTAACGTGCTATGGGGCCAAGGGCTGGTCAGTATGGCACAATTTAACATTAGGGAGACGCTACTGCCACACCAGTTAGGCTTCCTCCACAGCCGCCTTCGATCATGCTAAAACCACCGCCTACCTAGGAAGGCAAGGTCTGTTCCCTTTAGGGTATAACCTCTTTGGCGCTTTTACCGCCTTCCTGCTCCGGTAGTTCACTTGCCAGAGCTGCTAGAATCCTGCCTCAAGAATAAGTCCCAAAGGTAGCAGGCGGTATGGTTCTGCCTGTAATAGAAACCAAGCAGCACCTTAAATGGATGGGATCTTACCTTATAAGGTAGGCGGAGGGTGTGGCGTCAGCGAAGGCTGGTGTGGAGGAAGCCTAGCTGGTGTGGCAGTAGCGTCTCCCTTACATTACAATCGTAGTTGGGAGACCTACAAAAGGGAGCGTTGTAATTCATCAGCGATGCGCGATAATCGAACGAGTTGCTGGAATGGTTGAGCAGTGAGAACGTCGTGTGAAGAGTGTGAGGAGGACGGAGGTTCCTGCAGGGCCAGGCGCAGACTCTCGGACATCACGAAATCATCATCGCTCAGATCTGTGGCGTCCCAATCGTCGCTTCCTATGTAAGATGGACGCCCAATAAGCAAGCAACGCCACTTATCTTCGGCGTAGATGGCCCACCAAAGGCGACGACGAATCCTCTTTTCCCATAATGGAAGTCCCATGAGCCGGCAATCCAACTGAAGCCCAAGCGACATGGCAACGCCGACAAGCATGCCCACCAAGGACCAGGTGAAGGCACTATCAGCCACAGCACTTTCAGTGGCGCTGATTGGTCTGTGAAGGTAGAGAATTCCTGCTTGGAGGGTCGAAAGACGGGCAGTGTGGATGTCCCGTAGCAGAAGGTCAAGAACCATGCGCCAGAGCAGATCAGTTGGGGGAGGAGCGTACGCATCGATCAAGCAGAGATAGTTATCAAACTTGGCGAATGGCTGTGCGGATGCGTAGATTGCAGCCAAAAGACACAAGGGTGTCCTCTGAAGGATACTCTGGTCGGGCACCGTGCCTGCTGCTGCAAGCCCGAAATGTGACCGCGAAATAATCGGCAGCGTGGGAAAAATAAATTTCATAAAGCTGGAGAGAAAGGCATATCATGTCAACCACAGAGCGCATCAACGGTGGTATTCTTGTCAGCTTACAGCACTACCAATCTCTGGCCACATTCGGGGGGAACAATGTGGTTTAATTGCTCATGTGTGTTCAGTGGGTCTGGCGGAAGCAGCTGAGCCTTGGAAGACTCATAGAGCTGATCCGACGAGACCAAAAAATGGCAGGGAATTTTCTCGTCAAACGGAACGCCCCCTGCGTTCCGGAAGTGCACTTGGTGGAAGGAGAGGAAGCCTCTGTCGTTGAATTTGCAGTGTCTGAGAAGCCATGGGTCAGATTCGGCTGACGCGCCATTGACCTGGTAGGATACACCAGCCAAACCATCAAGTGTCTGGATGGTCTGATGCGTGTGTCTTTCTTTGAAGGCAGAAGGCGTGTGCGGGCGTGTGCCGCCTGGATCTGCAGAGATTCTCACCGTGTCTAGCTCGAAGAAAGGGATATCGACTGCTTGATGCGCAACTGGGGGATCTTCTTGGTCCACCACCAGATCCTCGGTCGCTTGCAAGTTGCTTGTTGCAACCGGTCGGGTTTCTGGTGAAGGTGGTTTCGGCGGCACAGTGCCCTGACGAGAGTGAGGCCGAGGGCGAGGGCGAAGACGAGTAAAGGAACAATACTGACCCGCAGCTAAACAGCGCTGACAGCTGCCATGGTGATCGGCTTCGCAGCGTACTTTTCTCCGTCGGCATCCGTCACATGGGGGGTGTCGTTTTGATCTATAGGGGCGAATGGTAGGAGGTGGCGAGCGAGCGTGGAATTGATGGGGAGTTGTTGGATTCGGAGAATTTGACGCCATGCGACAGTCGGTCGGCCAATGATTTGCGGATTGAAAATGACGTTTTCTTGGAGCAGTACTTTGTAGAAGGTCAGCAACGTCGATAATCGCCGCTGGGGTTTGAAGGGCTACTTAACTAATCCGCCGAAGTCAATTCGACAGCGGCCAAGAACGAGTTGGCCGACAAGTTCGCCGAATGCCTTGTCTGATTCGTTACCCGCCCAAATGACACCGCCGAATGGGTTTGGCCCGAGTGTCGCCGGAAGGCGCACATTACCACCGCCACTATTATTCCTACTACTACTCCCACTACTATTACGACAGCTTCACGCCGTTGATGCTGTTAATTCAATCGTATGCTCCTCTCATTAATTGTTGATTATACTCCAGTGGGCCAATAGAACGTTAAATGCCACCGAAATCTCGCAATATGGTACTTCAATACCTACCCCCACCCTCAATCGTCGATCAGCGAAAGGAAAACATTGAACCGGTCGGTAAGTATATGAAGAATCTCGCATGAAATTCAAGTTGACCATTACCAGCGGTATCCATTCCCTCTACAACAAGATCCAAAGCATTGATCCCCTATTCCGCGTTAGCTCTTGTGTAGCAATTGTAAGGGTTATCGGCTATGTGTGGCGGTGAATCGAGTACCATTGTAGAAATGAGAGTAGGATGGTGTGGAAGCTTCGCAGCTCTCACTATATGTCGGAGGCGTGACTGTTTCATTACTGCATAATTGAAGTCAGCAAAGGGTTTCTAACATCGAAGACTTCGGGTGCTCACTTGGTCGTCAGTGTGGCAGTGGATGGTGTACTTTGCTGCGCGTCTCTCTTGCGTGATTCGTCCACCCTATCCACAGCAGGTGTGGAACGACAAGATAGTCTGGCTTTGAGGCCGGTCACTTTCTGTCTCCAATCCATGATGTGGAGGTAAATATACAATGTATTGCCCGGTGAGGGTCACAAACAGCACGAGGGACCAGGAATGCTTTATATGTGCCAAATATAAGACCGAGGGGTTATATCTACGGCACTTGCCGTTCAGGCATCAAGCACCTTATCTTTCGGTTCTGCCCCCTCATGCACTGAATCGAAAACCTTTTCGAGCAAGCCACCTGGCTAATTGTGTGGCCGACAGCCGAGATAGTTGCATCCTTCTTGGAAGAGTGCGGCGATGGGGTGCCTGCATTTCGCCGATTTCATTCCCTAGAGAAGCATTCTTGGCATCAATGTTGACTTCGCCGAGGGTTCCCCTCTTAGACTGCTCCTAAGCACAACAACTGTGGTGGTCACTGCTCTCGATAATTGACACGAGAATAACCATTAGAATGATTATGTAATTTACTTTTATTATTCTTTATCTAATTATATTATCGGTGGACCCAGACGCACCCCTACCCGACAAGAGATAGTACATCGTTTGGTGTTTCCGGTAGCACGTTTATGTGTCCCACTGGTCTATCGCAGGCTTTAGAACTTGGCTTTCACTTTCCAGCCCGCACAAATTGCCCTGGCAACAGCAAAAGCGACCGCGGAGGCCGCATACAACACGCCTCCGAAGACAATCATGCCCCAATATTCCCCCTGGTTCTGTTGCTGGATAGCACCCGCGATCGGGATGCCCGTCAATGTACCCACACTGACTATCGTAAATGTCGTCCCGCTCCTCTTCCCTAGATCCTCCGTCTTACAGACTTGCGAAATGCACACGGGGGTGAGACTGATAGCAGCACCGCTCCAAAAGCCGAACAATACCGCATAGCAAATTACTGCGGGCATATTCGCCCCTGATGCAAGCCACAATGCCAGGGTAAGCGCCGCACAGATGATCGACGTTCCTACCATCACGTTGAACCTTCCGAGTCGATCTGCCACTAAGCCCGGGAGGAACCGCCCTGGGACAGCGCCTAAATTGAGAAAGATACTTAGCGCGTATGCGAGGGTGTCATCCATGCCAATATGAACCCCGTAGGATGAGATGTAGGTAATCGGTATGAAGACGGCGAATTCCACTAGGAAGATCGCTATTGTGGTTGCGGCATATTTCTTCTCTCGCAGGGCGCGAAAGTCGACGGATGCGCCAACGCTTTTCTCATTCAGGACCCGTGTTTTCAGCGTCAGACATGATATCAGTAAAAGAACAGCACTGATAAGTGCAATGATACGCATTGCCCAGGGGAAACCAATTTTGGGTGCTGCAAAAAGGATAATAACGGGGAATATGACTCCTCCTATACCCCCGGCAGTGCAGGCGATGCCGGTCGCATATCCGCGTCGCACGTTGAACCAGTGCCCAATGCAGGAAACGGCTGGAATAAAGAGGGCACATGCAGATAGGCCACCAAGGACACTGAATGAGAGGAATATCTGGTAGAATTCTATCGCAACAAGTCAGCATTATCTGTACCACTGCTGTACGGATAACATGTGCTCCCAACCTTGGCTGAAACTAAAGCCAATCAGTGCTATAACCATGCCAATTGACCCTGGAAGAATAACATAGTTGGGTCCATAGGTATCCAATATTGGTCCTGCTATTTATCAGCAGCCACAAAAATTCAAGGTGATTGGAAACTTTACTAACCGGTTTGCGCTCCAGCAGCATACAAGAAGAAGCTGTACGCGCCAAATATCCAGCCAATGCTGGACTCGGAATAGTTCTGGAGTTGGTGCTTACTCGTCCATGCATGGAGAATACCCAGGCAATTAAGCAATCCCATGGAAGGGATCATCGCACACCATGCTCCAAGCACCACCAACCAGGCTTCGAGTCCGCCTTCGGGATATCCGTGCCGCATCGTAGTTTCAACGATTGTCGGAGGAGACGCAGACTCGTCTGTCTCAGTCTTCATGGCAAGAATAGGGAATAGTATGGTACTTTTGCAAGCGAGACCTGGAGGGGAAAATCTGTATTACGCTGGAGGAACTTCCAACGAAAGCTATCGACCTAATGGGAGACCTAGGTGACTGATTTTGAGTGTCAGTGTAAATATCTTTAAAGAATCGCAAAATCGGCGATTATTCAATTTATGGACATCTTCCCCGTTCTAGGCCAACTACAAAATGAGCATTCGGAGGTATTTCTTACTACTAGCACTTAGCACACCATGGGTACTTAGCACATCATGGAAGCATGTTGTTGATAACCAATAAACCTCGGTGTGCTCGGTCGGTGATTGGTTGTATGTCCGTCTGTGGAGCTGTGCTTCGGCGAAAGGGCAGCTAGACAATTCATTCTCAAGCCCATAGCTAATGCTCTCATGCGTTAGACCAGACACTCATGCCGGGTTGACCTGTGCTATTTCTTGCATGTAAGTCCGGTCATTAATTACCGGTCAGGCAATCAGTACATGTCATCACTGGGATGAGCCGACCACAGTGCCAAGTCAATCCCATTTCAGAAACCGGATCAGTATATATCCTTGCTGGCAGAACATATAGACTGTGACTGAAAATAGATGATGATAGCGACAAGGAAAGCATACTAATGATGTCAGACCTGTTCTGCCGGGCCCATTCATTCATATCATCCCCTAATCGGTGACAGATGCGATAGGTGTCCTTCACTCTCCGGCCAAAGGAGAAGTACCTCGATACTCCCAAGAATAGCTCTGCTTGCAATATAACTCTTCTAGATTCCTAATTGGGTATCCGTGGTGCGTGTAGATATTTTGACGGCGGGAGAGATTCATATGGTAATAAAGGGCTTATGCATTGTGGCACTCATTTGTTGTGCAATCTAGTCCACTACATCCCAGGCCGGGGGAGTATTCCTGATACTAAATCTATAATACAAATTAGGCCATTTCTGCATATGAGAAAAGCTCTCCGTCCATGCTTATTTTCCCTGGCCAGCGTTCTTCATGGTCCACTGGGCAATGTTACCCGGGGGGTGAGCCGTCGCAATGGTCTTGCCAGCGAACTTGCTGATGATGCTAGTGTCAGATCCGGACATGGAGCCGGAGTTACCGAAGGCGTTGAGCTGGCAGGAGCGGCCGAAGACGGAGGCACACTGCTGGTTGGTGTTGGCGTCCGGGGAGCTGAAGAGCTGGCCGCTGATGGGGGTCTCTACCACAGTGTTGACGTCCTGGAAGACATTACCCTCGGCCAGGACGTAGCCACCAGTGCCGATCTCGAAGGCGTGGCCATCGAAGTTGTGGAAGAGGTTGTTCACCTGTCGGCATAGTAGTCAGCAATGTGCAGATGGTACAGGGGGTAAAGACTACATACGGCGTGCAGCAGAGTGTTACCCTGGACCTTGGGCATGCGGCCGCTAAGGTTGTAGAAGTAGTTGCCCTTGAGGGTCACCATGTCGTTGCTGCCGTCCAGGTACACGCCCCAGTAGTGGTGACCGTTGCAGGTGGCAGAGTAGTCGGAACGACCATCGATGAGGGAGTAGGAGATGGTGACGCGGTTATCGGCGCTGGTGCCCAGGACGATGTGCTGGCGACCAATGCGAGCAGTTGTCACGTGGTCGATCCAGACCAGATCAGAGTCATCGACAGTGATGGCATCACCACCCCAGACATACTTGGGGTTGATGTCGGTGACAGCAATGTTCCTGACCATTATTAGCAAGGGTGAATGCACAGCCCACGACCGATGGTCCGCACTCACTGGATGATGACGTTCTTGGCACCGCTGACCACGCGGAGACCCTTGCCCTTGATGACACCCTTGGTGCCCTGTCCAACAATACTCTTGTTGGAGTTGACCGTGATGGGGAGGATACCGGCCTTGTCACTGTACGGCAATTAGCATGGCGAGAGTCTGGGCATCAATCGAACGGGGGCAACATACTAAGTCACGGATACCTTGGGGGCGCTGGCCTGGTAGTTGTCGCACCAGCTGTGCAGGTTGATCGCCACCTGGCATTGGGAAGCAGTTCCCCAGGGGGCACATCCGGTGGTAGTCTCGGTACCCTCGGTGCCGGTAAAGTCGAAGCTGAAAGACCAATATATTAGACAATTGTCTACCCCTGTATCCCAAATCAAGGATCAACCTACGTTCTGTCCAGGATGATCACCCGAGGCTCATTATCTCCCAGGTAAGAGACCAGCTCATCAGTAGTCGTGGGATAGACGGGGGAAGCGCTGCCACCGCCAGTGACGCCATGAGCAAAACCCTCGGCGGCGCCTACAACGCCAGCGGCACTGACAGCGCTGGCCAGGGATGCCGCGGCAGCAGCGAAAAGCAGCTTGTAGTGCATGCTGGACTGTCAAAGTATAGAAGATATGGAGGAAAACAAAAAGAAAAATCCGAAAGAATGAAGGTCTTGGGTGTTATCAAAGAATGGCAGCCTGGAAAGAGTGACAGGCGTGTTAGAGAAAGAAAGGAAGGTGATGTCTTCTTCTGGATGGCATTGGAGAGGGAACGTTTCCAGGTATATATACAAGCTGGAATACATGATGGTGGAGCGGGCAGTCAGACCGTCGCCGTTTGGTCCCCTCAACCATGTTCTGGAATGAGACGAGGGACCCGGGGACAGGACCTGAAATGGATGAGAACCCAATCTATGTGGCTTGGCAGGCAGGTCTTGGTTTCTTCTACCGGAGATTAACCTGTCAGTGGGTGTGGTGGCTTATATTTTACGATGTTAAAGTAGCGCTACTGCTGCCCAGATATCGCCGGACTCGCGGAACCAACATCTCCAATTTTATCTTCTTGGGTCTACGGGTCATGAAGATTATAATGAGAATGGCCGGAACAAATCAGGAACGGAAAGGCAGCAACAAAGCTTGTTTGTCCAGACGTCGTTGAGAGGACAATCTGGAAATCTCTTCCCAAGTTCCCAAGCAGACCTTGGGTTCAGGGCGGACCCGGGAACTCCGGTGAAAAATGAGGTCTGCTTGGCGGAGCATAGGAATGGTGAGAAAGAGGATAGTGGTCCACTTCAGGATGTCTTAGAAGCAATCCGGCTGGCTTCCGAAGGGGGTGGAGGTCAGGGTCCCATGAACGGCCCTGACCTATATTATTCAAGGCTTGCTTGGTAGAGGGAGAAAAGTGGTACCGGCAGTCTGACAGTGAGACATTGAAAGAACTGCCCCAAGAGAGGGTTTATTATTCTTGAGTCCCAGTGGAAATTACTCGACGCCAAGAAGCCTCAAAAGGGATTAGCTTGGAAGTTACGTGATAATGCTCGGTCATGTTATAGTTTGTCTTGTTTGTTTAATTGCTTGGGTCACATGATATATATTGGCTTCATGCCTCAGGCATGAAGTGTGGCAGCCTGGAATCAGGCATCCATCCACCGCCTCCTCATTTCTCTCCCGACTATTCTCCGAGGAGGTCACATCCTCTCTCCATCCACCATCCCTTGACCATATCTCCCGACGCTTTCCTTGTGAATCACGCACTGTTACAAATGGATATATATATTCTTATTCTCAGCGACCAGTAATTGCTGGACTCCAGATGATGCTTGCACACAATGGTGACCCTGCCAATGTTTAGAGGACGTCAACTCGACGGTGCGTACATTCAAGTACTAAACATGAACTGAGGGAACCAGCAATTGTTGTGTAGCAGTGTCTCTACCAGTAGTGCTACTAAGAAGTGGCGTCGGTTTTAGTTTATCCTCATATCTTGAGTCGTCCATCATGTTCCATCTCCTCCCCGTGATAGAGGATGACATCTCCTCTATGGTCGAGTTGTGGTACGACACCTTTGGTGATCCCATCAATCGGCGGCTGTATCCCGATACCCTGGGGGGGCGCGCCTGGCTAGAGGACTACCACCGTGCCAGTCTGCAATCTCCTGATCAACACTATCTTAAAGTTGTCACGGATAGTACCGGGTCGACTCCTCCCCTCGTAGCATTCGTGAAATGGGACTTCAACACCACCTCTCCAGGTCACCACTTTCCCCCGCGCCATGTCGATTTCAACCAGGTCTTTTGCGACACGTTCTTCGGGGGGCTGGACCAGGCGCGACGGACCATCATGGGCTCGCGTCCGCACTATTGTATGCTCCTTTCCTCAATATTCTGTCTTTTTGCTTCTATTCTCTATCATCCTAGTGCCTGTGTTGATGCGCCCGCTAATGATGACACTCCAGATCTGGATGCCCTGATCACCCACCCGGATTATCGCCGGCAGGGAGCGGCATCAATGCTCATCCAGTGGGGATGTGACCGTGCCGATCAGGACGGGATCCCCATCTGGGTGGATTCCAGTCAGGAAGGGGCCCGGATCTACGAGCGCTTTGGGTTTCACGATGTCAGTGTGTCGGGGGTGACTCCGACCGGCGCCATGTCCATGCTGCGGGATCCCGTTGGTGGTGATGCCGCGTAGTTGCTAGCAAAGTGTGGGATTCTTCATGTATCTAGCTAACCCGAGTAGTTATATTACCACCATCGCTCTCTTACAATGGTTCTGGGCCCTTGAGCGGCTGCATCTCAATATACTCGGTTCGTAGACTCCACTCTCGCGTCTGGTGGATCACCAACCCCCCGCTTGCCTCCAGATTCTCCTCGCACTCCCTCGCACCCCCGGTCGGGATCATGGTAATCTCATCATCTGCCGGATATGGACGCGATCGGGCCTTGAATGGAGGGCCCTCGCTGGTTTCCGACCGCAGATAGGAGCCATCTTTCTGGCCACCCTGACCCCAGCCCGTGTTGAAGGCGATCACAAACGGCTTTAGGCAGGGCACGGTCGCCGCCATGAGACTGCTGTGCAGGAGCACCTCGGTGGCGACCACCACATTCGATATGCCCAGCAGCATATTGTTCAACCCAACCCGGTTGAGGTAACATTGGCGCACAATGATAAGGGCGATAATCCTTGCCAACGGTCAGCTAATGTGGCCTAGCCATATACGCGGCAACAACAGGCAATGAGTGTACGTACAGAATTCGAGTGCCAAAGGCACCTATCACCCCGGCCTTTTGAGTTCGACGCATCTGCACTCCCCACACCAAACGAATACTCAGGCCCACCAGAAGGGCCTCTGTGATCACATCGAACGCTGTCATGGCACGCCATCCCGTAACCTGGCTCTCTTAGCATGTATTTTGGTCATCATCCGAATGTGGCAAAGGCAACTGACGAAAGAGTGGCATTGCGTGAGATTCCATGGCTGAGAAGGTTCACATTGAAGTCCTACAGCAAGAAGGGAAGCGAGGAACCAGAGGACGAGTACCGCGAGGCCCACAGTGCAGAGTCGTATATAGGCGCCTTCTCGGCCCAGGCGCCGAAGAAGGAGGCAGACAGATACTTTGGAGGCGCCATGGCTAGCGAGGAACAGCAGATCGGCTGTATACAAAGCCTGTCATGATAACCCCGAGTCAGTAACCAAGACAAATGACGCATCCCGATGAGAAGGTAGAACTTGCCTTCATGGCACCCTCTTCGTCGGTCGGATTGATTCGTCCCAGACCCTGCGATACACCCTTCATAATAGCGCCCACATTCCCAATTCCTATCGCCTGTCTCAGTGAGATCGATCAATTCAGGCATTCCGAGCGGCAATGAGGTCAGGGTTACTTACTCCACCGATCCAGACTACGACATCATCCCATCCAGCTGGTCCGTTCATGGCAACCCGCATATAGACCCGGAACAAGGACACCAGCACCATCCAAGACATGAACAGCGTTGCGGCGATGACGATCACCCCGCTGCGGTCCGTCGGGCTGATCCCGTAAGGCGCCGCCATGTGTCGACGGGGTGAGGCTTGAGGGGATTCGGGACGATGGACAGAGGCATTGCTGAGGCTCTCAACCTGCCGGGACTTACTTTATAATAGACCAGGCGGCTCAGAGGACAGGGAAGTGATTCCTAGGATCAACAGGTACCCTGGTCGGAATGTCGACTGGGGAGGACAAGAGGGTGAAACAGGCTCAGAAGCGACCACACCCAAATTTTCCGCCGGGCCGTCGGTCGGAAATGAAAGCCAGACGACAATTTTCCATCCGATCCCGGTTCCCAGTGTTACGACTACTGTATATTAGGCCTGACGTGGCCAGGGATTAGGGAAGGATGGCTACGGTGCTGACTGGCGGTGACCAGCCCTCCTTTGGTAAGGCTGGGATGAGGGCACAACCAACTGACAGGGATCACGCTCCATCGTCTGAGAGGATAATAACCTGTCAGTTGGACGATGTAACGGCGGGCTACAGTCTAACCGGGGTCCCTGGCAAGTGCTTCGGCGGTGCCATCTCTAGCTTGGGGACTAATGCTGCTAAGTGCTGCTAGTCTTGCGAGCCACGGCAGAGAGGACCGTGACGCTGCATCTGTCCCACGTATTGATTAACCCTCCGATCCCCCCTTCATCTTTTTGGCAGCCGAAACTTTTGTTCGATCTTATCGAGCAATACATGTCAAGCAAAGCCAAATCTTAGGATGTGGCTGGAGAAAGGGAGCAAGTCGGTCGCCTACACCACTGCGCCGGAGGAGGGCTCTTTGCCCTCCACCAAGGGAGGAACCACTCAAGATGGCCGCGATATGTGGCGTGTGGGACGCGATCAGGAGTTGAATGTGAGTAGGCACTTGAGAGGTGGCTCCAATTTCGGCTTCCTAGCTGACTGGCACAGCGCAATTTTCGATTCCTCTCGGTGCTGGGTTTCAGCGCCGTGCTGATGTGCACCTGGGAGGCAGTGTTATTGTAAGTCAATCCCGTACGAACAAGGCAATCCTAACAAAGGTACTAACGATTGAATAGCGGTGCCTCATACGGCTTGACAGATGGAGGTAAAGGTGGAATGATCTACACCTACCTCGGTGTCCTCTGCGGATTCAGTTTCGTAATTCTCTCCATGGCGGAGATGGCATCCATGTGTGATAACCCTCGAACACCGACCTTCTCTTTCATTTCTTTTTATTCTGGGGCTTTAATGATGGCAGCTGTTCCTAGAAAGCGGCTGTTGACTTTGGATAAATAGGGCCCCAACCTCCGGCGGACAATACCACTGGGTGTCCGAGTTCGCCCCGCCCAGTTGCCAATGCCTGTTGAGTTATATCACTGGCTGGGTATGCGTGCTTGGATGGCATACGGGCATTGCTGGCTGTAGCTACACCGTAGCAAACATGCTAGTTGGCCTCTTAGCAATCAACTACCCAGATTCCTACGAATATAAGCCGTGGCATGTCACGTTGTTGGTGATTGCAGTGGCGTTCGCTGCACTGCTCTTCAACACGCTGTTGGCACAGAAGCTGCCGCTAATCGAGGGGATCATTTTGATTGTCCACTGCTTTGGATTCTTTGGCATATTGATTCCACTGTGGGTGCTGTCTCCGTCGGTTCCACCATCAGACGTCTTTGGATCTATTGTCGACCGTGGCGGATGGGGGAGCAATGGCCTGTCTTGCTTGGTCGGGGTGGTTGGACCAATCTATGCTTTGATCGGTACGTCGCAGATGCCAGAATAAAAAATTTATACTACGCCTTGAAGCAATGCTAATTTGTAGGCAGGCCCTGACTCGGCGGTACATATGTGTATGACCCTCCTGACGGGACAAGTTTCCCTTGATGACAGACTAACCATATAAGAAGCCGAGGAAATCCGCGATGCATCACGCGTGCTACCCCTAGGCATGGTTTGGACGCTTATCTTGAATGGCGCCACCGGGTTCGTCATGATCGTTACATTTGCCTTTTGTGTGGGAGACATCGACAAGGTCATGGCTTCCACGACCGGCTTTGCCTTCATTCAGGTGTTCCTAAACTCGACTGGCTCAGTGCCCGCAGCAACGGGGATGACGGTGGTGATCATGATCATGCAGTTCTGCGCCACGATCAGCAACGTAGCCACTACTTCGCGACAGATCTACTCATTCGCTCGTGACAAGGGCGTTCCATTTTCTAGCTTCTTTTCTCAGGTGGCGTTCCCTGGTGCTTCACGATCCTGGCGGGATAATATCGGACTAACCGATAGATTAGGTCAACAAGACATTCACCGTACCACTGAACGCTCTCTGCGTCAGCTTGGTGATTGTTTCCCTTCTGTCCTTGATTAACATCGGATCCTCCGTGGCCTTCAACGCCATCATGTCACTGGGAACGGCGGCCCTGCTTTCATCCTACCTCATTTCCATCAGTTGCGTGCGGCTGCGACGGTGGCGCAAGCAGCCTCTCCCACCGGCCCGTTGGAGCATGGGTCGGTTCACTCCGTTCGTTGATACGGTGTCCCTCTTGGTGCTGATTGTCGTCTTCGTCTTTACCTTCTTCCCCCTGACTAACGACACCGCACCTTCTGAGTTCAACTGGGCTATTGTCATCTTTGGCGCCGTTGTGGTGTTCGCTTTGGTATATTATGCCCTCTATGCTCGGAAGGCATACAAGGGGCCCGTGACGAGGGTGCGGGTGGCACAATGATGGGTATACAGACAGGGGCGGGTGGGCGATTGAGAGACAAGAGGGTGTAAATGGTAACATGTAAAACCAAAAGTAGATGAATTTGTGCAAATGGCCGTTACAACCGAAGTGAAGAGCTTGGCACCTTAGCCACTCCGGTGCCTGTATCAGATACACTTATTTACAGCGCGGAGGAAAACACCACCATTTAGAGTGGCTGGCTATTATCGACTGAGCTATCCTGCGTCGACCTAACAGAGCTCTCAATGCTCACAAAGTGAAAAGTCGCCTTTTTCAAACCCGTCATTTTGTGGCCCTTGTTTGGCTCGTCTCTCGTCCATCAGCGCCACCCGGTATTCCCGGGCTTCCTCCAGGGTCATGGCAAGCGCGGGGATGTTAGCAGACACCATCTGCTGTAGTTCGGCCGGTAATTTCGGCGCAAGCACCTGCTGAATCGCATCCCGTCTCTCGCGGGCCCAGGTATCTTGCTGCGGTGGTACATTTGCAGTGGAGATGATGCGCCGATGCGGGTCCACCAAGAACAGCGCCAGGATCTTGCGATGGCCCGGCCGCGAGCGATCTGCGAGGCCAAAGGGTGACACCCGATGCTGCACTATATTGGGAAACGTAAGTAGTCGCCCTTCGCGACAGACCACGCTGCCAAGGTGCTGGGTGATCTGGGATTCCCCATTTCCGCTCACGTCGGGACCAAAGCCATAGACTGCGTGGATGAATTCATGTCGATCTTGGTCGTAATCCACATCGTACAGAGACCCAGCCCGTTGACGGAAAGACAGCGTGCTTTCAGTGATGTTATGGCTGTCGTAATAGTAGATGGCTGTCGCACAGATGCGTTCATTCTAGTCAGAATATATGTTAGTGGATTCAAAAGATCCTCGTGACTCCCAAAAATTGGAATGCTTACTAGCTGTCCCTCGAGATGCCATGTTCCTCCCTCATAATCTGGCCGCTCCGGAGTGAGTTCAATGTTAGCCAGTTTTACGATCACTTGCAGCCCCGTCTCGTGGAAAGACTGTCGCAAGTGCACCCATCCTTTCCAGGAAGGCTCGGGGGGTCTGAAGCGGCCTGGCTCCGGAAGAACAATGGGACGAGCCTTTTCCCACGCATTATAGCGCTCTGAATATTCCTCACTGTCCGAGTCCTCATCTTCCTCGGGCTTCGGTTCTGGGTCAGGGTGTAGCAGATAAGACACCCCGTGGTAGGGAATGCGCTCGTTTCCTTCCTCCCGAACCTGCGTCAAGCTGTGTTCCCAGAGCGGAATAGCCGCATCAATGATTTGCTCCACCACGCGGTAGAGGGGCTCATGCTCTGTCGGGTGCAGGTTGTTGATGTACGAGACAATGCGACAGCCACTTTCTGTGCCCAATTCCACATCGCAGGGCAGCCATTGAAATTGTCGGCTGAACGCGCGCATTTGCTCCACCTGCCATCTTCTGTACGGAGTGTTTGCCTCGGCGGATGGCCTGGCCTCATCCTCCGACGGAACGGGCACGACCACTCCTTGACCAATACTGCCGAGACTGTTGTCCGACGTGATCGAACGATCGGGTAGAATGCGCGTGCGCCCGTAAACCAGTGGAAAGAGCGAAGGGTGAACGAGGTCGACAACTTTCTGGTCTGAGCCGGGGTGGTAATCCTTTTCATGGGCGGGTATGTTCTCGAGGGGAGCAACGGCTTGCTGCAAGGCCTTTTGGAGCTCCTTCGAGACCGCTGTGTCGGAGCGGACGACCCCGACATCGAATATCGAAAGCAGTCCTTCTTTCTGAAGGTTTCGAGCTTTCCATTGGAGTTCTATGATGATATAGTCCATCATTTGGGGAGTCACGTCTTGACCGGATGCCAGCACCTCCGTCCGCCATCGTGACGTGATGCCTTCGTCGAACACCTTTTCTGCATCAGTCGAATGGCAAGTCTCAATGAATCGTGAGAAGCGGTCATACCTTACGCCACCATTCGGGCTTCTCCGAGATCGTATTCATGACCTGCATCATGGTTATTTCACGCTGAGTGCTTAGATGGCTGCAGAGTACGCGGTTAGTTTCGCCCATTTTGCTGGCTGATACGTAGCAATTCGGGGAGTCTTACCCAACGTAGCCATCATTGATATCTCCATAGTCTAATGCGTTGGGAAAAAGCTCCGTTTCCTATGACGAACGAAGTGTTATGTTCTGCCCCGGGCACCATGTGGCGGGGATGACAGGTATTTTACCTTGGGCTGCCAGTTCAAGGGAAGGTTGAATCCTGGCAGTTTGATGGGTGAACTAGGCTTCGAACCCATATTGGCCCCGTGTATTGTTTGCTTGATGTCTGACGGAGTGAGGGAGGGATACATATTGTATTATATAGAGTGAGTCACGAATCAGAAGGTCTAGGCAGCCGTCCCGTTAGGCAGACCTCGGCGACTAAGGCAACTAAGTCACTAGTGAGTAGTAGGTTGTTGCCTGTGCGCTAAAGAAACATGGCTGTGGCGTTAAGGTCCCTTGTGTCTCGCTGTCCCACTCTATGCGAAAACAGCGCCGCGCCCTACATCAATGATCTATCCTGAGTCGGAACAGTCCATTATTGCATTATATTTATCGTGCCCGGCTATCGTGGAATGAGGTATGAGAAGACTATGGAAGAAATGCGGGAGATGGGCTACGACTTCCGACGGAGCCTTGAGCAATGCAGCCAAACCAGGTATAACCTGCAAGAACCGAGTGGATAATCGCCATTCTGAAGGGATTTTATGATAGCAAAATGTACCCTATTCTCGCATTGTGGAAGCGATGCGACCGTGGGGCTTGATGATTCTCTCCGTTGCCGTGGCCTAGGACCCACGGCTGCACCGATACGAGGGGGGATATCCTGGCGTTGCGCCAGAGTGTCGGCCGGCCAATGGTCGATTCAGCTCTCTGTAAATGCTCGAAAGTGGCCGGCAACGTGTTGCCAATGTAGTCAAACTCCTACAGAAATTGGGCGCTCTAGCCCGTCTCTTGCGCAGCATGCGAGAATCTGCCTCATGGACAGCAATAACGTGGTCGTCACACTGGAGTAGCTACCGCTGCAAAACGAGCCACTGTCGAAGGTTTATATCAAAGACAGAAAGAATGGTGATGCCCAGTTCCGTCGCCCTGACAGGTGGGTATACAATATTGGGCGACCGCAACTACGTGATGCTGGTCTATGATCAATCTAGAAAAATAAGAACCGGAATCGCCGGCTGGCCCCCGACGTGGCTGTGGTTGGAGACACCGTCGCGACGGAGACACTGGACGATTCCTTGCTCGGGAGAGTGGCAGATGGGGAGCTGGTGCCGGTCACAGCTGGAACCGATGTCACCGTAATGACTGCAGAAGGAGTGGGATAAACGGTGAAGCTGGATGCCGTCGTCGTTTCCGGGCCGCCACCTGGGCCTTTGCCTGGACCATCATCTGGGCCATCCCCAAAACCACTACCAGGGCCATCGTTTGGACCATTCCCGCCCGAATCACTGTCCCCATTTCCATCATCTGTGTTGTTGTCGCCGCCGTCAACGTCATCGCCCGTGATATAGGTCTGGTGAACGGACCAGAAGCCATTGCCTCCACCTACATGCGTCGCAATTTAAGCGTTAGTGATATGAGGTGCCTTAGAGTGATGAGCATGGAATGGCGACACTTACAATGGTCCTCTGGAAATCCTGGGCAGTTGATATTGCACTCTGACTGGGAGACGAGCTTCGCGCTCGGAGGCAGCGAAGAGCCACAGTAGCAGTCAACGCTATTTGTGGTAGCAGCGTATCTCGCACCATTGCGACCGCAAGTACTTGTGCATAATCCCGTGGATTGAAATTGACTGGAACCCTTGTTCACCAAGCTGCCGGAGGATGAGTAGCAGCCCACGAAACCGTTAGATAGAGCGTGCGCGGAAAGAGAGAGCGCCAGAATGGCGGAGAGGCTGGTAACCTTCATGGTTGGCAGCATAAAGAATGACTCGTAGGTATTCCCCAGTAGCAAAAGACTGAATGCTGGTTCCGCCAGGAGAGAGGAGAAATAAAACGAGAGAATTGGCGGATGAGGGGGGTGTGAGAGGATAGCGAAATGCGACAGCCAAGTGTTTTAAGGGACTCATGAACAGCGGACCCTGAAAAGACCCTGCGATCCTGGTCCATCCTGTGGTTGAATTTTTGGCTCCCAAGCAGCCTGGGAAACACACTAACTGCACTAGCTTTGAAACCCGACGTATCAACGGCCTGCCCTGATCGGAGAAGACCCACGAGCCTCGGAGAAGTCTGCTTGAAGTTGGGTCGGAGAGCCCGAGTCGAGTTTGGCCTGGGGGTCCAAAATTTCCACTAAGTGGGAATGATGGCTTATCACTTCACGTATTGTTTACTCTTGGGGACAACATCGCGCGAGGTATCATCCTGTTATCGCGAGTTTCCAGCTTACCCTTTTTGAGTTTTTCCGAATCATGGGTTAGTCCCCACCGCTGACCGGTCTCCCGCCGGCCTGACAGCAGGGGAAAATGAAGAGGAATGATAGATGCGCAAGTCCACGACATCCCGACTACATTGAAGTCAATTAGAGCAATCGTTCGTAGCATCAACGCTGCTCTTTTGTGAAAGATCTCTGGTCTTGCTAGGATTGAATAAGGAATGATTACTGTTAAACATCTCTGGTTAACGGGCAATGAGAGACCGTGTCGCCTTTTTCATGGTCTGCAGTACAGGACTTCATCGTTCCAGACCCATGCTTTGGACAGACTGGTGGCCCAGTGGACCTTCCGTTGGGGACCTTAAAGTAATTATGATGTTATGAAGCCGGAAAGTGATTTCTCGTACTTCTGAACCGTTCCGAGGCACCAGATGTTGAGGTCATTATGAGCGAGGAGGCCGGGATTCTACTCACATATAAAACCCAACCATAATACAAAGAGTTCAATTAAACAGCATCTTTAACCGCACGATCGATATAAAATGCAGGATCCTAATCAATTGGCCATATATTGATGATGAGCGTTATGCATATCCACTGTATAAGAAGCATCCATTCTGCTACATCTGTTGCAACCTTCTTTCATGCAACCCGTCGGAGTACTCTCCTGGTCGCCACGCCTACTCCAAACCAAATGCTGGGCAAATATCGTACTCAGCCCGTGAGATAGATGATTTTTACACCTTCACTTTTCCTGGATGGCGCACCCTGTACCGGCTCAGTACGTATCCTCGGGCAGCAAAGATAAGCACCTTATTTGGTTCACTCTAACTTTTCCAGTCATGTTTAACCCTAAAACGCGATGCTACAGGATATCCGGGATCGCTCAGAATTACTGGCCGTGTAGCACTTTTCACGCTCCGTGGAATGAGAATAACGGGCTCCTGTCTGTCGGAAAACACAAGAGAATCTGGCGCCATGGGCTGGCGGCACCTAAGCTGATTCAACCCAAGGTGAATATCGAGAAGCAGACCACCCTGGCTGGATATATGGTGCACGCTATGTGCTGGAGAGAGCTGCTCCGGGTCATTAAATGGCCGCATACAGAAGAAAATCTAGGCATCCTCTCGCACGCGCTGCGAACACGCTGCATGAAGGAACGTTTAGATATCAGTTATGACGAGCCCGTGGAATCGCAGCTACTGATGGATCCTAGAGGTGAGTATTCATATACGCAATCTGTAGTTTTGATGAGATAACACGCTAGACAATCCAGATCCCATCGGTATGACATCTGTTCGACGATTTGTAACTCGATGCAGATCTAGAGCTACCAGCATGTCAAAGGTGAGCCATACATCATGCTCTACTGATTCATGGCTCATCCGTCTTCCGTTGGAGCTGCAATACATGATCATGGATAATCTTGAGTTTGACGATGTAGGCTCGGTGCTGAAAGGCATCCAATGGTCAGTAGACAACGGATATTGGAAACGACGGCTTAATCTAGACCTGTTCAGCGAGATACGCGGCATTTTACATGAGGATTTGGACTGGCGGTGGCTCTGTTTGAAACTGGAGCTTCTTGAACACAGTCAAGCGGGGACAGATAGAAAGCGATTTTATGAAATACTGAAAGAAATCGGGATTCGGTATGGACTGGTAAAGGCTGATGTGCAGTGTGGTCTTATTGGAAGTCGTCCCCATGCTCCATGAATGTAGGGGATGATAACGAATAACCCTCTTTGTTGTTCAAGCCAATGACCGCCACCTAATACCACCAGAACCTGGCCATATGTTTGTTTGTTACGGAGTGTTGTCTTGAATCTTGGACTATTACGAGGGGAAGCAATGCGCATCCACAGTTACTTATATGGTAGCCGCGCCGACAGCTGAAATCTTTCCCCACCGTGAGCATGGTGGTCTTTTTTGCAATTTGAAAATCACCTAAGACTCGCCTGAGAATCAAAACAGGACAGTTCAGAAGGCAGTGATCCATGATATGAGACTAGAGGCCCTCTTACAAAAGCAATATAGTACCAGTGGCAGCGTATCCACCAGGAAGGCTGTTATATCGCCTGGCAGCCAAGGGTTACGGTGGCCCATAATGACATGAGTATCTTCATTGGCATTGGGTAAAGGCGTGTGCAGATCCCTGAACCCCTAGCGACGGTGCCACAGTTATCTTCTGTATCTCCCGCTTCTCCAACTGTGAAAGGTCCGTCCGAAGATTGTTCCAATCAATCAGCTCACCTTTGGGAACGGTAAACTGACCTTGTTTTAAAGAATAGCATCCCTCATGAAGTGTTACTTCTAGAGGATTGTATGAAGGACTTCAAATAGAGTATCCAGTCAAGTGGCCGTTCCGTGACAGTGAATGCTGATCATTGGAATCTCATCAGAGTCAAGATTTTACCCTCAGCTAAAGTTCACTGCTCAACACGTGGACGTTGCCTCAACTTTTGTACCACAGAATACGCCAGAATAGGAACGTAGTGTTTCTTCATTTCTTTGTGCTTCTATGCTTAAAGCATAATCCTACTTTTTACAGTTGCGCCTTCGGGGGCCCTTGCGTGGCGTGAGACCTGTTCCTCTTTATATTTCAACTTAACCAACCCAGGTAGATGTCGAGAACTAACAAAGACAACTCTTCGAACATACAACGATCTTCCAAAAAGCCACCACCAAAGCATTGAGCGCCTCTATAACCAGCTCCATGAACAGCAAGGACTGCAAACCCATACTCAACGTAAGAAACTACTTGGAACATACTTCGCTTGTGTGGAATGCTCACGTCTTTCTGAAGATACCCCCGCATGCGTGAACAACACTAGTCAGGGGCGAGGCTTGGCTGCATACGCGATGTGACAGTCACTCCATACGAGACAAAAGCACTGAGTTTATGAGTGGAGTATGGAGTAACAATAATCACAGTTTCTTTGAAGGCACCCACGAGCCAAGACACTACGCACCTATTAAGGAACCATTGCTGCTCCCTGATTTCCCCTTCCTCCGTCAACTTGCTCCTTGTGCATAACGCCCTACGACGAAGATGAACTTGCGTACTCGAGGCTGTCTTTTCCTGATCCTCTCTCTTGGCTTTGCTTACGGGCGGGCCTCTATCACTCCAGGCGTTACAGAAATCGACTTGATCTTTCCGCGTAACGACAGCTATTCCCCGTCGCCTCTCACTCCGATCATGTTTGCCATCCAAAACCCGAGTCTCCTGTCAAGTTTCAACCCGACGATCTCCTATAGCATTGAGCAGGAAAATGTCGAAGCCAGGGAAAGTTATATTACTTCGGGCGTGATCCACCTCGTGAACACCAATTATACGAGAAGTGACCCTTACTTCCTCTATTGGAGCGTCGGGAATCTGGATATTGAAGGCACCTTCGTGTTTGCCTGGGAGCTTGGGATGTTCAACTGCTCCCATTCCCCGCAGAGTGACGCTTTGACCTTCGGATATCTTGACACGCTCCGCCATCAGTTGCACTTCTCGATAAAGAATGGCACTTCGCCACCAGACATCGCCGCCGCAACCAAGGATAGTACGTGCGAGCAGTCTATAGCCCAGGCTATACAAGTCCCAGAGTTGTTGGACGTGTCGCCTACGCGAACCTGGGGAGCACCATCCTGTGCACCGACTGTGGGCCCATCCCCGACTCCCAGTCCTTGCGAGGTCAAGATCGATTCCACAGCTGCCGCAAGTATCTCCTCGGCTTTGACTTCCAGTGCGTGTCGTAATCCTCTCCGCACCGGGCTCAGTTGCCCAACTCCATCCCCTGAGAGTAAGGCCCCCGCGACGCAATCGCCGGTCGGAGGGCTCCGGATCTTGGCAATGGGAACGCTTCTCGCTTACAGTCTTGCATGATTAAACGGACTTTCGTGCCGAGGCATGCTGGTCTTCTCTTGAATGGATAATGCAAGTTGTTTAGAATCAATACAAAGTATTACAATATCCATTATGCCCCTTTTCGGGATTCTAAACTATTTTACTCATAAATATAGCACAGAGGAGTCCCAGCCGTGGTGTCCAGCACATCATAAATCTCCCGCGAGACCGTCAGGTTACCCATGTAGAGAAGGTCATGAATAGTAGCGTTGGGCGATGCAATCAGACCATCAATAAAGTCGGGTCCCTTGACGACGTACGTGCGGTTAGCAGGGTTCAGGTTCTGCCAGATCCAGAAGACGCGATCAATCATAGCGTGGTGGACATAGAATGCCGGATCACCGGGAGAAGCGTACAGATCCTGCAGATTTGAGTTAGCTCCATCACATCGCAAGTGAAAAATATGCAACTTACACCACCCGGATCACCACCAATGGTGAAGTGACCGGCCGTGTGAACGCCCAGGAAACCTTCCTCGAAGAACCCTTGCATGGTCCACTCGAAGCAGGAGATGTTATCGCACTCCTCAATTAGGCTCATGACATCGCTAGTCTTGGTCCAGCCCAGAGCGGTCCAAGGAGAGATATCACGACGCAGGCAACGGGGGTTGTAATCCAAACCGCTGCCGTTCTGGGCTACGAGGCCAGGGATCTGCAGGGTAGGATCAACCGGCCCCAGGTTGACGGTCATGCTGATTATCCACGGTTAGAATTCATTCTCAGAGTGAGCTAATGGAGAGGACTCTTACTTTGCGAAGGGGCCGTTGCGGACACAACCTCCACCCACACCCGGCGGGATGGTGGTATAGTCAGTCGCAGGGGTGCCGTTGTGGGGAACGAAGTCACCGTTGCCAGACATACTGTACTCGGTGCCGTCAAAAACGGGCGAGTTGATGGGGTTGGCGGCGTACTTGTTCCATGCCCAGTATGGCTGGTAGCCATCATAGCCACACTCTGTACGCAGAGCATTCTCATAGGCCCAGGTGAAGTAGCGGTGCCAGGTGAGGAAGTTGCCCTAGGCAGTAATGTTAGCAGTGTTTCATTCGAACTGGCTTGGCAGTCACTACACACCGTGCCGTGGATATACAGCGTCTGATTAATGTGAACCGCCACGAAGTCATCATAACGGTTGCGGACACCAGGAGCCCAATTTGGGTCAGACTTGGGGGGCTTAGACATCAAGCAGAGGACAGCATCAGTGTACTTCTTGCGGTCCTCCGGCGCGAGGGAGCCCCTGTATGAGAGGTATTGTCAGCTTCGAAGCCGAAGAAATAGTCGATACCAGTGGCTTTTACCATTCTTTGCGAACAGCCGCATTGTTGATGTTGCAGCTGGAGTTGGAAGAGCCCTCCGCCGCCAAATAGGCACGCTTGGTGGCCAAGGCCTTGCTAGCCAGCACATCGACAGCATCTTGCGTGTCTGCCGACACAGGAGTGATAGTCAGGGCTGCAATAGCAGCAGATAGGAAGGAGAGACGCATCCTGCTTGACGGTGCAACTCGCTGGACCAGGGGAGGACTTGGTGTCAAGCTGGAGTCGTTCAAGAGGGACACCCGGTCCGCCTCGACCCCTATATACTGCTTTTCTCCCCACCACGTGCATAGCTGCAGGCCAATTCAACGGCTATCGGCTCATTTTGGCGAGGTGCCATTCGGAAGTCGGAAGGCTAGCCCTCAGACGATTGGAATAATAGATTGCACGCCGTGGGCGCGGTCTAGTCCATGGCTAGCAGTGTTTTCCCTAAGGCGTGGTGGGGAAGGCTGAGCAGTAGTGTAGTCTTGCAAGTTGACTATTGGGCCGTTGAAAGAAGAGTCAATATAATGAGCACGCTAGCAATTGGAGAAACTAGACTGCTGGCAGGTGTTGACAGTCTAGAATGATGCCAACGATACTAACCCGCTTCGTGGCGGACCGGCGCGTCTCTAAGCGAGGCCAAGTGGGGACTGAGGACAGGGTTGAATGACCCACGACTGACAGGCTCAAAGGGATTTATTTGGCTTTGTGGGGTGCATCGAATCATCACAACCATATGCGCTATTCGAGAAATCCTGATGTGTAGTGCTGTGAATAGATATTGAAGCCAGGGTTATCTTTGCATGACAAGGATCCACCACCATCCCACGCGTGGCAACGGAGAAAACTGCCACACGAGACTTTGGATGTGGATACATCGTATGAAACCGGCTTTGCTGCCAAGAGACCCCGTTGGAATCGGGGCAGCCGCCGGAAGAGGTCCGCGGAGCACTAGAGAACTGGTCGTGTAGTGGTGACTGGAGATTTAATCTTGAGATGCTCCGTGAGAATCCCCACTGTCAAATATAGCCTCACCGGGTGGAGCTCGCCAATCTCCGACCCTCCGAACTGCCTCCGATTTCCCGCTGGGTTGCGTCCCTCGAATGTTCATTCTCTGGTCTGTGAGTCGGCTCCTCCCCCAGAGTGATCGTCGCGATCAGCTCCCTACGTACCAGCGTCTTCCACATGGGACTCCAGTGATAGGCAGTGTGAGCTTCTTGGCAGATCAGTGACTTAAGAGAAGTGTTGCTCGCATCACTGCTATTCTGTAGCCTTCGCAGTGAATTTTCTTATTGTGCTACTATGCCGTGTGCAGAATGCCGGAGATTATCGCTTACTCCGTCAGCACCCAAACCCTCTTCGATGACACTAAATCCCGCGACACCCCTGCTAGTCGCCTAGAGATTCCGTAGCGTGGCTCCATTCTTACTTTTCTGAATCTTGACGTTTGGGTAAATTAATCTATTACCCTTCCGCCCGAAACTCGGCGCTGATACGACTGGTGGGATGTCGACCTCTCCATCCGAAATGCCAGGGGTATCCATTTGTAATAGACTCCCAGGAACCATAGCCTCCTTCGAGACCCAGGCGCTATTTCTGCAAGTGCCAAGTCGGCCTTTAGAGGCTTCCACAGTTTCGTGCAGCGATGACAGATCTGTCGAAAGTAGAAAAGGCCGCTGCAAGGCATCCCCGACACGGGAATATGGTTGCGTCGAGCTTCAGTCCGTCCTCCGTGACAGGGCCAGCAGTTCGCGGCCAGCATGACTCCTCTTCCCGGCAGAGCCGGTGACCCACGGCAGATACTTTGGCTTCGTGATGAGTCGGGTGGCTCCAATGCCCCTGGAATTCTCGCGGCAGTTAGCACACTGACCGGCCTGTCAACATTGGTACTGTGGCTCCGTTGCTATGTGCGAGGGCATCTCCTGCGACGATTCAACGCAGAAGAGTACATCATTACCGTAGCGTGGGTGAGTCATGTGCTCTATTCCATCGCACATTCGAGTGCTTCTTAACTTACAGGTAAACTAGCTGTGCGCCGTTGGTGTGCTAGTCTGTTTTGTGCTGGAAGCTCAACACGGTGTGGGTCGCTTCAGCAAAGACATCACCGATGAAGATGAGCAAGTCTTGTCTAAGCTGGTATACTATCATTCAATTATTGTCATGGTCGGGCTTAGTCTTGTGAAAATTTCCTTGGCTGTATTCTTGCGACGTTTCTCATCAACTATTTTAAGCAAGGCGCTAGTTGGATCGATCAGTGGGTGCACCTTCGCAAATGCTCAAGGCTATGTTCTGGGTGATAGCAATCTAATGAACGGCAGTTTTTCTGGTGGCATTTACCATTGCCTGTGGTCTTACACTGATTCTGCAATGCATTCCTGTAGCGGCAGCGTGGGATACAAGCTTGCGACCTCATGCCCGCTGTTTCGACAATGATACTTATACAGCTATTGGCCTCTGGAACAGTAGTAAGTTTGGCATCACCTTTTCGGAGGTGCAATTTCACTTTTCAAGTCAATTTATCTTATAACTTGATTAGTTACGAACCTCGTCACCGATGTCATCTTTGCAACTTTGCCAATTCCCCTTTTTATAGGGATTCAGGTCAACTGGCGAACCAAATTCTCGCTGATAGGAGTGTTGAGTCTTGGATACCTGTCAGTCATCTCTACTCTTTCTCCAATGGTGGTTACTGACCGTCGACTAGTGCCTGCGTCGCGGGAATTGTCAAGATCATTTCGCAGGTCAACGTACTAAAAGAGCAAAACATGTATCGGTAAGAGTTCCCGCGGGACTACGCGACAAAGAGTGCAATCTTCTGGAGCTAATCATCGAAGACACGACACTTTCATGATTTGGAATTGGTGGGTGACTCCTGAAGCCCAGACTCCGGAGAAAACTAACCTGTCATCTCTAGTGCGGAGCTAAATGTCGCTATTCTCGCCGCCTGCCTCCCTAGTCTCAAGCCTCTACTGAAATCGGTCCTCGATGGGACCCGCAGCCTGACCACGGGGCGCCGCAATACCTCTGCCTACCGCTACGACACCCAGGGATATTATGTTCAGCGCAGCACCGACATTGCCATGAAGTCAATGCCCCGAGTACCACCGACTGTCTACGATGTCACAGCTGCAGGAAGCTCCGACGGCGAATCCGGGAACTGGAGAGAAAGTGACGAGCAGAGGCTGCATCGGACTGAGACCGGTATCATGAAAACGACGGAAGTGGTGATTCAGACACATGGAGACTAGTATTGTTTCACTTGTACATTTCGGCCTTCTGAATATTACCCGGTTTACATTCGGCTTCCTGGACCCTTATTCAAGCCCTACTCCATGTATACTGGTAGACCCCAGTCTAACATTTTGCAAGCACAAGACTCAGTAGCAACCCGAAAGCTCGACGTATAGGAAGATTCAATTCAACAATAAATCACGTCTCTCATGTGTCATCAACCGATTAACGGTACTAACTATCAGATATTTCCAGCTCTAAACATAAGGGGCAGCTACTCTGGAGCAGCACGCTCATTAATCGACAATAACGACACAGATTAGTTCTGTCTTATGTCATGGTAATGACACTTATTGGACGTGAAGTCATTGGTCGGCAGTAAAACTCTTGCAGCAAGATTCGCAAGCCAATCATAGCCAACCAGCCATATTGCAGAGGGCTGCCTCGAATATGAGGTGCTTGCCATCGCGTAATCTTAGATATGAGTGTACCTTCTAAAGGCGCCGCAAGTAAGACTATATATTGTGTCTATGTTGCGGATAAATAAAGCTTGTGTCAATGGTAAAAAGCAATTTTAAAGACATCGTAGGCCGCTGACGTAGGTCCTGGGAAGTCATAGCCAGTTACAAACCATATATATGGAGGAAGAGAAGGGAAAAGTGAATTAAAAATCGAAAAGAGTTAACATTTTGTAAGAAGTTTTCAAAAATTACTTCTATTAGACCTTGAATATTTATTAAAATATATATATCCAGTTAGTAAAAAACATAGCTGACATACTCGAAAATAAAATTAAAAGAAAAGAAAAAAAAGATTAGATAAAAAAAATGTCAGATAGTAACTTAAGAGCCGCCATTATAACTGGATTATTATATGCCACTTTTGTGTAGTCTTAATGATCGTAAATAACTTCTGATGATTTATTCACAACACGGGATTACTTTTACAAAATATTAATTATATCTGTATTATCCTCATGGTGTTCCCGCTGAGGTCGCTATAAAATCTGGCTTCAGAGAATATTTGTTGAACTGTGAAAAGTAGCAATGGTGCTTTCACGGGGTGGCATAAATGTTGCTCAGAGCCTTTTCCTAAACGCGACAATGGCACTTACTAGTCTACGGATAGAGACATCTCCATTTTAAAGACCGGACTGTTTTCTGTCTTGTATTCCAAAAGTAAAATTTTAGAAATAATGCACAAATGCTCCCGCACATACCTTTGCACATTTTTGTGATAACAATTAGAACTCCATTCAAATGTGAAAGATATGAAGCCGATACTATAATAAGGAGGCCCCAATGGGACCTATCCATTAAATAAAACCTCGCCTAGACCTATTAATAAAGCATTGCTTCTGGGGACAACAATTAGTAGTCGTGTGTGACCGTGGTGACGGTGTACATGAGAGGCTTGAGCCGCCAATGGTGTAGTAGTGGCGTCAGTTTCGAAGTTCGTATATTGATGTAAAGTATGCTGCATTAGCTTTAGTTCGGTCAGTAAAGTTAGTCCAAAGGTCCAGGCACACGATAAAGAAGAGCAATAAATATCATACCACGGACGAGAGCAGAACTGAAGATGGAGTAGGAGAAGATGAAGGGTAGATGCTGGTATGAGGGAAGACAGCCTTCTTTGTCTCACGTGCTTCTTCTGCTTCTGCTCCTTCTTCTTCTGCTCCTTCCTCTTTTACTACATGGAATCTGGAGATAAAGAGTTTGGTTAGATGAGTGGAAGACAGGTTGGTTGTGATATAAATGACATTCTTGTCCAGAAGTAGAGAACAGCCATGCTTGGCACTGAATTAATTCTGTATAGTGATCAGCGCGTGCAGCAGTGTTTGCGACGCTATATGAGAAGCTTATCGGAGCATAACTGAAGAAAGTGATATTGTGTTGACAATTGAGTGTCTACAGGCGGTCGTTGAGGATGACTGCGGAGGTGCTGATGGTCATGCGGATGCTCTCGTAGAGAGCAAAGCAGTTAGAATTGAGAGGGCGAGGAGTATGATTGGATATTTAGGAATGAAACGGTGTGATAGCGATAACATAGCAAGATATTGTGGTTGTACTGTGATGGAGAGAGACAGAGAGATCCTCATATAAGAAGTGGAAGGTTACGAAAGGTGTAAATAACAGGGGGATGGAATATGGTCCTGTTAGGGACTTGCGGGGCCATTGTAGTCTTGCTAGAGAACTCTGCCATATACTGACTGAACAAAAATGGAAGGAACTACAAGGGCGAAAAGGGCCCGAGAAGCTTGCTAAGATTCATTAAGCTGAGAAGTTGCTATTTGGTTTTCCACCTACTTCTGACTCGAGGTCTCAATGAAATGTAGTATTGGGGGGATATTCCGGCCACTTAGGGTGGACTTAAGGACTGGTGATGTTTTGGGTCATGGTCTGTACGGTATTTTACAACGGCGGGTCATTTAGTCTTCCAATAGTGGCACGTCGGACCCTTGGACCGCATATCGGACGGCCCGCACCACAAAGGGAGTAAAGCAGGGGAGAAAAATCTACCCCGGCACTAGCCAAAAGTTGGACTTTGAGCGCTGAGCTAGCACGACGGGGGAATGAACAAAACGAGTACGAAGAGAAGGACAGGGGCTCGCGTTCGAGAATCAACCAAGTGAATGTCCCTCTTATGTTGCCGAAACACAAACATACTTCTTCCAATGAATTTAGTCTTCACGAAGTTGAGACCTGTTCCTCATCGCAATAATGGACGTCAACACATTTCCATATGAGCTTCTATCCATCATCAATTCGTATGCAGCGGATTGGGTTGGCTTTGAAAGTCTTTTGGAAGTCTCTCCACAGTTAAAGGATCTTTTCAATGTTGACCCAAACACGAAGGCGGATCTTGAAGCTGTACGCCTGGTTGAAACGATCCTTCAGCACAACCCTGTTATGCGCTACGAATTGCATTCCATATTTCGAATGGCTCTAAAACTCCGCCTGCATTCCACGCCAAAGGTCGGTCTAGCTGAGTTCATGGCTCAGGATCATTCTTTGTCGTTGATGACCTCCCCTCCTTCGATCTCCCGAGCCGTGCTCAAGGAGATGGTAAGCATTGCGGCCAACATTCAACGACTTGCGTGCGCCTGTTTGACTACTCTCTTGGAGCGTGTTCGAAAAGTTCAGCCATGGTGTTGGAAGAAGGCTGTTAGGGATGGCACAGAGCCATATCAGCCGCGTGAGGCTGGCCCACCGTCATGGATCGAGGAGTATCGCGTCTATCGTGCGCTCTGGCACCTACAGTTGTATTCTGATCTTTCAGCCACTGGGGAGCGGCTAAATTGGCCTCAATGTGAAATTGAGGCTTGGTGGTTCGCACGCATGGGCTGGGATCAAGTGCCCGTGGTGTTGGGGGAAGAAGTCCGAACCCTATCAGAATGCTTGGAAGGTCTATGCAGAGTCAATCCAATTCTTCGCCATACGAAGGCCAGGGGTCTCAAGTATGATAGACAGGAGAAGTATCTGTTCGAGATATGTTTCATCTCTCGCCTCCCACACTCATCTCAACTGCGTCGCGAGTTTCATGTCTGGGCCCCTTCACCTCCGCCTGAGATCGCCATTGCCGAGGATGGCTTTCCCATGGATACTTGGGGTCAGGGGGTGGAATCAATCCATTTGAATCGTATCTCCGCTATTTTTCGAGCCTGTCAAGTTCGCACAAGCACCCATCCCGCTAGGTATCAAGTCTGCCGGATTCAAGATTCCCGTCCATGGCGAGGACTAGGTATGCCCATCTGGGACGCCTGGAGATGTTACTGCCTAGGCCTATGCTCGTCTGATAATTGCCGCGGACTCCATCCTGGTCCAATTCCGACTCCTGACGGATCACACGTGCCAAAAGGCTGCATTCCCATTGCCCGGGGATCGGAAATCGATTACAGGATTTCGGTTTTCATCCATGCCATGATGCAGATGGAAGATGAAGAATACAATTAGACAGTGCCAGTGGAAGGGACGTTAGTTAGGAACTTATTGTTACATCTTCACTCATTGTAGTCCACCTCTCGTCCCATTCACAAGTTTAGCTCGAGTGTAAAAATTTCTCAATGAAGATCAGGAACTGAATTCAAAGATCATATGGCACCAAAACTCCTCATTCCCCTTTGCATCAGTACCCAAAGTCGTCCAAGCTGTAACCGATACCGGTGTCTTTCTTCCCAATTGCTGCTTGTGATTGATCAGTAGCCAAGCAGCTCCTTTCACATTAATTTTTTATTCACAACCAAAATAAGCCCCTTGCTATGTATATGAGTCAATTTATCATAAGTTAAATCTGTGAATAGATTTCCAGTCATCAATAAGAATTCCAGGTAATTATCTTTAGCGGTGACTTATCTAAGCCATTGAGGGCGTTTCTATCAACTACGCTTCTGAAAAGCTCTAGGGCAAGGCCAGATGAACCTACTTAATGATTGTTAATTCTGATGGCCATTAGAAGTATCTATTGGGAGGTCTCCGAAGATATTCGAAACCCAAACTTATTAGAGCAGATTCGCCATGTTGCTCCGATGAGTCTTGTTCTTCTAGAGGAAGTACTTGGCCGGTGTGGGAACTGACCTCGACGGCAAGGGATCGTTTGAAGCACCCAAGCCTTGCAGATCTTCGTCACTTGGCTTTATTACACACCAAGTGCAAATGCTTTTTGAAAACAGTGTTTAGCTTCGTGGAATGCATAATCGTCAAATTGATTAGTTGGTTCGCACGCGTCCGACGCACCAGAACGAGCAGTCTACGGATGCATCCCATAACTGAAATTCATTCCAACACTCAGCCGGCAACGTGTACCACTACTAGACTAGCTACGGATGAGCATGTGGAGATAAACATGGATGCGTTCCTTACATTCAGGCACCCGAGCAGGTATATACACTCGATGACAGGTACTTATATCGGTGTTCCTAGACGATTGGATCTCCCTCCGCTTTGATGCCATGCCCATGCATAGTAATATATGCAGCACACTCAAGCCAATTGGAGATGTTCCGTCCTGTCTTGGCAGAGGAGGGATTGCGTATACCGTTAGAGGTCGGATTGACAACCTTAATCGGCTCCACAAGATGCTCCCGATCGACTTTAACAAGAACTGTGAGGAGGACAAGTTGTTTGTCCACGTGTAGCTTCCATGGTACCCTATGTTGTTGTTGTCAACCCCGCCAAAGCATTAGAGACAATCCGACAGATCAATTGTCCCCCACTGGAGTGCTCATTGCTAGAGTTGGGGAAGTTACAGCCCCCGCAGAGGACTAATCCATCACGATGCCATAAACGGCTCCACACTTCCTGAGCAATTGTCAAGGATGGTGACGTGGGCGACAGCTTCACGGACCTTCCAGTTTGAACGGCGGGTTAGATAAATAGGCCTGTAGGTACACTCGATGTACCTTGAAGGGCAGCTCAAATTTGAGTCATTTGTGATCGTCTTGTTGTATCCTCCCTATTACCTGCATAATGGCATCTATTCGACTTCTGTTGGCCTGCCTGCCGCTGGCCTTAGCCACAATCACCGTTTTGGATCCCAGCGACTACGCTGATCTGGCTGCCGACGCAACCGATAATACCTTGGAAGCCGACTATACCACGGACAATAGCGGGCCACAATACCTTCTGTACAATATCACAGGCCCCTACTACTATAGCGACGAGGATGGCGAAATTGACCACCAAACCTTGACGGTGGATGCGAACGATACCAGCGTTCTCGTCGTGACAGAAGGATCGGCAGTTAATGTGTCGTATACTGATGTCATCAAGAAAGGCTACTCAACCTGGCTCAATCAGGCCAGTTTCTTTGGGGTCAATGCGGCCATCAATGTAGCCAACGCCTCAACAACCTACATTGACCACAGCAACATCACCGTTCACAATGGTGCGGCCAACATCTATGCCTATGGGACCGGGACCACCGTGTACGTGAGCAACACCGACCTGTACAGTTCTGGTCCGGTGTCCCACGGTCTCTATGCGGCCGGCAACGGGACCGTCTATGCCTCCAATCTGCGACACTATTCAGGCGGGAAACGCTCATCCTCCTTCTCAGGTGACAGCCCCGGCGGCTACATCTATGTCACGGATGCCGTCGCTCACACAGCCGGGGTTGGCAGTGCCATCTTCTACACTCTTGGTGACAGCTATGGCAAAGATGTTATTGGAAAGTCCGAGAATGGACCGAGCCTGTTCTCTGACGGAGCGCAAAGCTCTGTCTTCGAAAACGTCGATTTCACCGCTGGCCTTCTGGCAGGGACGGTCATGTTCTCGTCCTCTACGCGCAGCAGCGGGGCATCCCTGTCATTCTCGAACTCCCGACTCACTACACTGGGAGAGGATATGGCAGCGCTATGGTTTGGGAATCTGATTGCATCAGCCACGCTGCATGCGACCGAGCTGAATACCACGTCGGGTATCCTCGTGATTGCCAATGCCTCCCAGATCACTCAATCCTTTGATCACTTCGTCGGCTGGGAAGAAAATTCGAGCATCCAGCCTGCGCAAGCTACAGTGACGGTCACTGAGTCCACACTGAGCGGCGACATCGTGGCCTACAACGGCAGTTCCATCTCTTGGAGCCTGGCTGAATACTCGAGCTGGACGGGAACGGCCTCCACCGGCCGAGGGACTGCATACCTGGCAGTGGCACTCGACAAGACGTCCACTTGGACGCTGACGAAGAATGTCTACCTCCAGAACTTTACCAATGCCGATACCACCAACAGCAACATTGCGAGTCAGGGATACAGTATCTATTACAATGCCTCCTCCTCTGCGAATGCGTGGATCAAGTCCGCAAACACAACCGTCCCTGGTGGTGGGAGTCTGCAATCGTATTAGGAAGGTTACTGGGCGCTGACGGGGGGTTAGTGTGCTTTTGGCATAGGCACCACGGATCACATTTTGTGATCAGAAGGTTTGACAGTTATGACAATTGATGGAAGATGTAGCTAGCGGTAAATAGTCATAACTTTATCAAGGATGTCAGTCTTGGCTTATCCAATGAAGTTCATTTCTAAAATGAAAACGTGTGATAACGTCTGCAGATGCCCGGTGCGGGCTGGACGAGAATAGACCTTTAGTTTCAAAGGCAGTCCCCCTGTGTCCCCCTGTGTCTTGTGATATGTTACCTATCTATTACTTGAGTTGTTTCATCGTAAGCCGGAGCTGTAGCTCGGCCCGACGTCCAAACAAGCCGCAGGATTGGGCTAGATTGCAGTGGCGTTGGTTTCCCGACTCTCCAGCCGTACTAATAGACTTCACGTGCAAGTAGCCACGAAACCATATTACGCAAGCTGTGATAATAGACGATTTGAATTTTATCTGGCCGACACATCGTTGCCGTCGTGGGCAGCCGACCCCATACAGGTCGCTCCCTGGTGCATGGGAGTCAGAGGCCGGAAGAAGATCCACACCGTGCTAAAAGGGCACTCGTGCTGGGGTCTGAACAGCTACCAGAGTGATAAGTCGTTGCCGGCTTGCTCCCCTCTTTTTCAATACGGACAGAAAGGGGGAGGTGACATTGCAAGCCGAAGGGAACTGGCCGCACCCGAGATCTCCCCCACAACCCTATTCTTCTTACCCCGGATTTGGACTCCACATCCCTTGACAGTCCACGTCGATCATTTGGCCTCTGACATCTGCACGAGCCACGAGCCAAGTGAGGGGCCCAGCCCGCAGCTTATAAGGAGCTTGGCCAGGAGGATCTCCTCAGTATCCCCACCCACTACATTACCTACCCGACTACTGTAAGAAGACGACATCACTTCATGGCGACCAGAGACCCTAAATCCTCTGTTGGGACGGTGCAGAAGATTATGGATGAGGATAACCATCCTCATCGTTCGTTGGGCCATGTTCGCCTGCGCCATCATGAAACCAACGAGGTTATTCTGGTCCCTACTCCGTCGGATGACCCAAACGATCCACTACGATGGTATATACAAAGCTCGCGCTTGCATATAGTTCGTCGCTGATGTCTTCCCCTAGGTCTACCTCGTACAAGATTTACATTGCCATTCTTGTCTCTCTGGCCATGGTGATGTGCAACTTCATGTCCGCCGGCCCGACCGTCGCCATGGTGGATGTCGCGGCCGATTTCAACTCGAGTGTGTCTCGCGCAGCCTACTTTTTCAACAACAGTGCGCTGCTGCAGGGCGTCTCCAACTTGATCTGGGTTCCACTCCTCAATAAGTATGGTCGGCGGCCCATCTACATATCAGCATACCTGCTCTATTTCTTCATGATTCTGGGAGCCGGGTTGGCAAAGACCTATGCCGGTGAGCTTACCACCCGTACCATCCTGGGTGTCGGTGCAGGGGCAGGAGAGTGTCTGGCCCCGGTCACCATTGCCGATGTCTTCTATCTCCACCAGCGCGGTTATGGCATGGCGTAAGTGAGCGATTCAAATCAATATGCAAGCTCTGAAGCTGATTCTCCTCCGCTCACTAGAATCTACAACTCCGCCTTGAGCGCGGGTGTCTCCTTTGGCATCATCATCTCTGGCCTGGTGACGATCAACCACTCCTGGCGTGTGATATACTGGGTCGGCTGCGCACTTGTTGGTGCTCTGTGGATTGTGGTTGTCTTCTTCTTTCCGGAGACTGCATTCCGTCGAACGGACAACGCGGATGATCTCTACAACACGCAGAAGAATGCCGAGCATGTCGAGTCCCGGGGAGAAAATAGATACTCCCGCAAACAGAGCTACCTCCAGAGTCTGCGCTTTTGGTCCGGTCAGACATACACAGACGAATCCCTGTGGCGGATGTTCATCCGACCGTTCGGTCTCATTCTGCTGCCTCCGATCTTCTGGGCGACCATCGTCATGTCCGTGACAATCGGCTTCCTCGTGGCGGTCACGTCAAACTTCGCAACTGCCTTTAGCGAAACGTATGGGTTTGCTGCCTGGCAGAGCGGGTTATGCTTCATTGCCGGCATGCTGGGCTGTTTCTTCGGTACATTTGCGGGAGGGCCCTTTTCTGACTGGGTGGCCGACTATCTCACCAAGCGCAACGGTGGTATTCGAGAGCCGGAAATGCGTCTGCCCGCTATTATACCTAGTGTGATCGCCGCTCCATTGGCGCTGCTGCTGTATGGCTTTGGCATCGATCGCGCCTGGCACTGGATTGTGCCAACGATTGGACTTGGTTTATGTATATCACCCCCGTCGCATCTATGACATCAACCCTTGCTAATGCAATTACACAGTATCATTTGCCATTAGTCAAGGGACAAATGTCTCGTTCGTGTATTGCGTTGATGCTTACCGACCGGTGGCTGGTGAAGTCGCCGTCACTCAGCTGGCTTTCAAATGTAGGGCCCGTCTTTCTTGTCCCTTATGTTGAAGTAACCGTATCACTGACATCTCAATAAGCCTGCTTTGGGTTCCTGCTATCTTTCTATACCAACCCCTGGATTGCCGAATCTGGCTATGCGGCCGCCTTTGGCGCCATGGCGGGCATTTCGGGAGGCTGTCTGCTGTTCTTTATCCCGTTGTATTTGTGGGGACGGCATATTCGCATGGCATCGATGAAGTGGCCCTTCGTCCAATTTGTGTTCTGGAAGGATGATCGGGAGGTTGGGGAGTAATGTGACAGATGGGGAAAGGATGAGGAGTGAAAATAGCCTTCCTTTGCTTTCAAACGGATGGAGCAGTTGTAGAGCCTTCAATTATGTGTTTGCGTCGGCCATTCTTCCCTGAACAAAACAACTTCATGTTTTACGCCATAGTCTACGACCATCATAGTCAAGGCGATATTTTACTGGACGCTATACGTGGTTTAAACAGCCAGGAAATCCCTTGCTACGTTTGGAGCTCAGCTTACTCCACGAGCATTATGGATCAGACCAATCTGTGGACTGGTCCCAGACTCCCTACGCACAAACCCTCCACCAGGCCCACGCCCCAAATCCCACGCATGTAATCCAGTGTCCAAAGGCCTTGGTCTTGAGCGCCTCGCCCCCATTCGCCCAGACAACGAACCCATCGGCAAGACCAACTAGCGCGCAGACGCCGGCGAAGATGGTAACGGCGGTTTCCTGACCGTAGTACTGCAGGGCAAGCAGTGTCAGACCGTAGCTCGTCTCACGAATGCCCTTGATGTACATGAGGGGAGAAACTGCGCCGGGAGGAGGGGTGCGTTTGCTGCCATGGGTCGAAGCGGAAGAAGCGGCGGGTTCGAAGGGTAAGCCGAATCGCGGATACTCGGGGCCAGGGCGAGCCAGCGCATGGCAGCCCAGGGCGAGGGTCAGGCTACCCAGGATGTAGGCCGGGAGAGGACTGAAGGTGGTCATGTCGATTGCCGGTTTAGAAAAGGTCGCGATCGATGGTATATTTATCGGAGTCTAAGACGCTCATCGAGCGGGTCAGTCTGTTTCCACTGCGGAGAGAGTATTTGGCTGAGGGGAAAGAGGAATGACTGTGGCTGGAGTGACACTTGGTGACCCACCTTCGCGCCGGGTAGTGAGCGTCTAATCTCCGTGGTAGGCACAACACTCCAAGTGTGGACTATGAGGGTTGACTCAGAAAGCACAACTGACCGTCAATAGTGAATGCTTGAATCCGGAGGAGATGGAAAAAGAAAGAGAAAGACTTTCGTCACCATGTTGGAGCTGGTGAGACCTAAACAGTAGTACTTTGTAGGGTATTAACCGGACTGGGAACACAAAGCTGCTGACAGCACCAGGCCCAGTTGGGATTAGTGCTGATTCCCGGTACCATTATAGGGTTGTGATTGGTGGGAATCGGCGGCGCATCCCGCTCTCCTGCCTGTAGGCCTCAGGCACGCAGAACAATCACTCCCTTTCCAACACCCCCTTCAACATAGTATTATTTCTACAAGTGAAGCTAATGATGCGCAAAAATTGTACACACTGAAATATTGCCAAGCTCCAACCAGCGCCACTGTCACGACCAAACTTGAGAACCCCTCCTTCCAGGAGCCAGCACTACTAGCAGCCGGCATCAACTGTCTTATAGCGGTCGTAGCAAGCATTCTTATGAGCACAGTATCTGTTCTTACTCATGATTAGTTACTGTACAATTGAATGCTAGGATCCCTCGATGGTGAAAGTTACTACCACTACTGCTACTTTGGTATAACCCGTATGCGGGATATCCGAATCCGGAAGGAGATTGGAGAGCAGAGGCAAACATCACGTGCTCAAGTGACATCTTTCCCATTTTGGCTGGTTGTTACAAAGTAATTAGTACTCGTTCGTACTAATTTACTAACTATTAAGTTACCGCGCATCTACTGTGAAGATTTTCATCATCGGAGATCAGGGGATCAGAAATCCCATTTTCATTTCATTAAGTACAATCTGATCGCAAATAACCATCAATCTTGATAACAACACTAACAACAAACAGTTCAACGCCTTAGTCATATCAATCCATCATGGAAGAAATACGATTGTGTCTTCCAAAAAGCAAGAGAAAGTCTTCACTGCACATCCACACGCGTCACCATCACCACGTCCGTTTCCACCTTGGGCAACTTGATGTTCAACACTCCGTTTTCCATCTCAGCCGTGATGCCTTCGACATGCACCTCCACGGGCTGGAACACACTGCCCAACCGCACCTGGCGATCGAAAGTCCCCACGCGACGTTCATCCAGCGCCAATGTCTTCAGTAGTTCCTCATCACCAGGCCGCTCAATGGTTCCACTAATATTCAGCTCGAACTTCTTCGGGTCCCACTTCACTTCCACCGCTTCTTTCTTCGCTCCGGGCAGCGAAACATGCACCAGAAAGGCCTCGGTAGTGTCAAATACATCCACCTCGGGGTGGAAAAAGTCGCCGCGCTTGTGATGTTTGCCGTGACGATGGGGGCCGAACTCCTTGAAGCCAAATGGGCCAAAGCCACGGTGCGGTCCGCCCCGACCACCATGCTTGAAGCCACCGCGCATGTGTTTACCCCCGTAGGGCCCGAACCGACCATGCGGCCCATGGCCGAAGCCGCCATGGGGGCCAAATCCACCGTGGGGTCCCTGAAAACTAGCTCCCCAAGCTCCAAATGCCCCGGGATGAGGGGGGTGGTCGAATTTCCCCCATGGACCGCGGCCATGGCGACCGGGTCCATGACAGCCCTTGCCGCCTCTGGCATGGAAACCGCCGTGGCGACCGTGACGCTTGCATTTCCGGGGTTCGTCATGGTCTTCCTCGTCGGAGGAGGAAGAGGAGGGTTCGTCATCTTCGGCAGTCTCGGTCTGGGTAGGTTCTTCGTCTTCAGTCACAGGCTCTCCGCGGCGGTGGCGGCGGTGGTGAGGGCCATGGCGGCCGCGATGGGGCAGATCAAAGTCTCCAGCACCAGCAAAGTGTTCGCCATGTGGCATGTGGTTATGGTTGTGACCGGCGAAGAAGGGGTGAGCAAAGCTTGGTTCTTCCATGCTGGCGACGACTTCCCAATAGGGAGGGAGTTGATTGAGATCACGGATGTTGGCCATGTTGATTCTTGTGTGATGCTTGTTGTGGTTTGGGTTTGTATGATGATATTATGAGGTTTTAGCTAAAACTGGAGTGTCGGATTGTGTAAAGAGGAGAAGGAATGATGAGAGGGTATAAAATGAGGGATTGGAATGATTGTAGTGATGAAGGGAACGTTATCAAGGTAAGCTGTCCCCCTTTATATAGATCCTGTTTCAGGCATCCATGATAGTTACTCTACATGATCTACGCCACAGACTTTGATAGTTGTCGTAATCCTTCTTCCTCGATTGGCGTCGCCACAGTCCGGAGATTAGCATATGCCGACTCGGATATCCTAATGCCCTTCGGGCTTTTCCCAATACGTCACCTCTACTAACCCAATGGGGTATGTTCTGATGAGTCATTATCGGCTTTGCGGAGCTAGTTGCCCAGTTAAGCAGCCGAAGCTTTAAGTCCGACGGTAAATTGCTGCGCCACAGCCACAGCCACAGCCTTATCCCCGCAGTCCGAGCCTCGCTGTCTCTGCCGGTGGCGCTTCATGTGCAAAGGATTGAAGCTCATTCATGACTCTATTGGACCGGACCTTGCTTTTTGCCCCATGAGTCATGAGCTAAACAAGTGTTTTGATGTTAAGCCAAGCATCTGACGCTGCGGTTCTCAACGTGGCGCCGTCGAGACCACTCCTTCCGGATGGTTCCTCTCCGACTGGTTGTCGAACTAGGCTACACCCCAACCCTGCCATGGTTGATGGGGCCTTCAGCCTTATCGGTGGCTCTGTTCAAGTCCCGAGCGGCCGGTCAATTATCTTTGCACCGTCATAGTTTGCAGAACAGCTATGCGCTCTGGTGTCAGGACATACTTTCGATATGGTCTGTTAGTTACAAACAATGTAAGTAAGAGCAAGCCAGTTTGACCCATTGAGCGACCGGCATAGGGATTGTGACCAGCTATTTACGCTTCAATTATTACTTATTGACGCTGTCGGCAAAAGTAAGATGTGTTGGCTACACTACAAATCGAGCAGGGTGGGCCTGGTTTTGAGAACGTCGTATACGATGTCTCTGACCCTCATTACCGATAAGGTATGTGGGTAAGTAGTGATCATTTTGAGGATGACAGTCCTCATTGATTAAAGCAAAGTACGCAACTATAGACATCCAATAGGCTACAATTTTTCCCTTGGTATGGACACCATATCAACCCTGGCAATTTATACTGTCCCCAACCAATTTCCATATTTACGCCTACGACTGTATCCATTAGGGTGAGAGAGATAATAAGCTAGGATTCTTCAGTCATTGAGTAGTACTAATACGCTATCTTGCATGACGTGCGAGTAAGCACTTAGCCCAAAGTGGATGTGCCGATGATGCCAGAAAGATAACCAACTCACATGAAACTGCTGCCTATCAGTGTAGGTTATGATAATCACATTTCTCGCAAACATATTCAGTTGGTGAAGTATTCTTGGTTCTATCAATTATATTGTCCTCCAACGACACCAGGACGATCGGATAAAAGCCACAGAGAGCATGGATGAATGGAACGTCCTAACTGCAACGGCAACGCAGCTTAGCCAGTTGCTGTATCGGGGCGACACTACTAGTGTGGATATCGTCAAGGCCTACCTCGCTCAAATCGACCGACACAATAGAGCTGGCCTGAACCTGCATGCAACAATCTCCGTCAATGCCGAAGCTGCTCTTGCTCAAGCAGCAGCCCGCGACGACGAAAGATCGCAGGGCAAGACCCGCAGTCCACTTCATGGAATTCCGATTATCATAAAAGATGCGATCATCACGTCCGAGTCCCTAGGTTTACCTACCACGGTCGGCGCCGCTGCGTTCAAAGACACATATGGACGGAAGAACGCATACATCATAGATATACTCCTAGACCACGGCGTGATCATCCTCGCCAAAGCCAGTCTAACGGAATTCTGCGGCCTGAAGGCGACGTGCATGACCGCCGGTTGGTCAGCAGTAAATGGACAAACTCAGTCAGCTTATATCAAGGGTGGTTTTCGATCGGACGATCTGTTTATCGGTCGCTCTGGACCGGGAGGCTCCTCGTCCGGGTCTGCAGTGGGTGTTTCAGCCGGCTTTGCGCCGTTATCGCTAGGGACGGAAACTTCGGGTTCAGTCTGCATGCCGGCAAATCGGGCGGGATTGTACTCCATCACTGCTACTCGAGGGAGTGTCCCAATGGACGGAATATTTCGCTTAAGCAAAGACTTTGATAAGTTGGGTACTATGGCCAAGTGTCCCGAAGACCTGGGTCTGTTGATGCCACTGCTCAATGGCACACGCTTGGTGTCTGCAAAGTGGAGCGACGTCTCGGTCGGATTTGTCGATCCAATTGTATGGGATGCGTTTGGATTCCAAAAGAGCCAGGACAAATATGTGGAAAGTCAAATTGTAAGTCCCCTTTTACTCCACAGTTCAAGCGGGCCATGCCTGATGCTTGATAGCTCGATAGGTACGAATGGGCAAGAGCGCAAATAACTCTCCGAGGAGGCCGGGTTGTCTGCCCCATAAATTTGCCGACGATGGAGAGCCTTCGCTTTGAAGGCAAAAGTGTAAACTACACCGTTGCATGTACGCTTATCGCCTCCCACAAATGGTGGTCGATGATGGCTCACGAATATTACAGTTCATGAATTTCCAAGGTTATTTGAAGAGTATTGCTCGCTCTTGGTAGACCCCAAGGTCACATCAGTTCCGGAATTGATCCAATACAATAAAAAACATGCATCTTCTGCCATGCCGCAGCGTAAGTGATTTCACCACATCTTTGAAAGTCCGAATACTCATATCTCGTAGCACATACAGATCAAACTGACCTCGAGGAGACCCTCAAATCAAAATTGACAGAAGACAAAGCTGCGGCAGCCAAGGCCTACGCTCAACATTTGGCCGGTCCCGACGGCATCGATGCGACACTGCAGGATAATCGTATTGACCTTATAATTGGACCAGGTGATTGTGCAATTTGTGCAGTGGCGGCTCTTGCAGGCTATCCCACTGCCATGGTTCCACTTGATCGCTTGGAAGGCCCTGGTGGGCTTGGCCAGCCTCAGGGGCTAATGCTGATTACCAGTGCAGGTGGTGAAGCAAAGATCTTGGCATTCATGCAGTTGTGGAAACAGGTTGTGGGTGATTGGAAAATCCCCCCTTTGCTGCTCTAATGGGAAACATCGCGACCAATCCCGTCTTGTATGCCTGACCTTTCTTACGTGCTATCCTGGATGGGTCATCTGTTGAATTATTGAGGCTTGTATTGAGACGATAGAAAAGCGGTTTCCTTGAAGAACTTGAAGAGTAAAGCTTTCCAGACACTGTGTGTTATAATGGTGTTATTTGTATAGGAATATTATTAATGGCCATGAGAGCTATCGATCCTCTACCTCCACTGTAATGTCCACCGTCATTAACACTCCGCCCCCCTTGTCTCCATCAGTCAAGCATTTCGTGCTATCACTGAAGCTTGACCTTTTGATGGTCGACTTCCTCTTTACAGAAACGACCGAGTCAATCGTCGCCAATTCCGTGGGCCCTTTCCCTTTACTTCCATGACTTCCAAGTGTAGAATTTTGTCCGTATGGATGAGTATGTTTCAGCTCGACCTCATCGGGCAGCCTGGTGGTGATTAGGCCGGAATGTAAGCCCGCAAAAATATGGTACAGCGTGGGTAGGCAGACGATGGTGACGGTTGAGCAAGTCATGGCTTGCTGGCAGATAGTGGGGTAAACGATGGTCCCTAGGTTCGCGGAAAAAATCAGTAAGAGTGAGTGGAGATGACTATAATAGTACTAACATGTTATATCGGTTGAGAGAAGGTATGAGGGTAGAAGGGCGAGGTGTGCAATGGCCAGTGCTAGTACACTGTACCGTTGGTCAGTGGCTTATCCTTTCTAGAGATTGGACAGACAAAGTACATTATGCGTGCCGAGAAAGCAGCTAGAATCTTCACCCTTGTTGTGAGTGTCAGTTGGACATTGCGCATCATGAAGAATGGGATGACCACGATGACAAGTTCTGTGATTATGTGTATTATCGAAATAGGGTAGAGTATCGAGCCCTTATGAATAGTCAGAACACACACATCCCTAAATGTTCTGTAATATGCATACCTTCCCAGCACAGTGAGAGGAGCTGTAGAGCCACGGGTCAGGCATCTCGCATTGGAATGCAATCCCAAAGATAGCGAAAACGGTCCAGGCTGCTACAAGGACGACAGTGATGCGACAAGTTTGGCGGATACCGCGGTGGGGAGTCAATTTCCAGACGAGCAGCGTGGTAGAAATTTCGGATAATGAGAGGACTATGACGTGGAGTAGCTGCGCAGCATAGAGGTACTATATCACAGATTCCTGCTTGGTGACTCATCGTTGGAGATGCTATGGAACGAACTAACCTTGCTAGCTGTCTGGATGGCTGTGTCACTCAGACTGTCAATATGTCGACCTATCCCACTGTCAACTCCTTTTTGTATCACTATCACCTCGACAACTAGTAGCGCCTAAGTACAATGACTGGTTAGAGGATTCTGTGCTCCGTGGGCCGTTAACCACCCACCAGAGCTAGCCATACGGGTGTATGGACAGCAGACCGACGCTGTTTGAAGTAGAGCACCGAGCATAGCTTTGCTGCTACAAAGATAATGGCGACAATCAAAAGTGCGACAGAAACGAGAGTTATGAGTGGTCCATGATTGTCATCTGAGAGTGTCTCGAAGGGAGCTTCGGTCTCAGCCATGATCACGGTGATGGAAGGACATAATCGAATAATCAACAGGTCAGAGACGGCGTCGGATGACAGAGCGGATTATAGCGAAAGTAAAATTTCGAGAAGAGGATATCTGTTTATTGGCGCAGTAATCGGAGTCTGCTTGGCTACCGGGATCATAATCCCTGTCGTGCTGCTCGGCGTGTAAACGTGGTGGACGAGAACTCATGTCGTCGGTTCAACACTAGTCTCCTGGAGCCAGGCACCAACAATTGATCATACCATCACCC